CCTACGGCAGCAGGAGTCCTACGGCAGGAGTCCTACGGCAGGTCCTACGGCAGGGGTCCTACGGCAGGCGTCCTACGGCAGCAGGAAGTCCTACGGAGGAGTCCACGGCAGGAGTCAAACGGAGGAGTCCTCGGCAGCAGGAGTCTAGGAGCAGGGAGTTCCTACGGCAGGAGTCAGTCCTACGGTAGCAGGAGTCCTAGGCAGGAGTCATACGGCAGGAGTCCTACGGAGGAGTCCTACGGCAAGGCGTCCCACGGCAGGAGTCTACGGCAGCAGGAAGTTCCTACGGCAGGGAGTCCCACGGCAGGAGTCCTACGTGCAGAGTCCTACGGCAGCAGGAGTCCTACGGCAGCAGGAGTCCTACGGCAGGAGTCCTAAACGGCAGGCGTCCTACGCAGCAGGAGTACTACGGCAGGAGTCCTACGGCAGCAGACCTACGGGAAGTCAGTCTACGGTAGCAGGAGTCTACGGCTCCTACGGCAGTGACGGCAGGGTCCTACGGCAGGAGTCATCCTACGGACAGCCTAGACGAGTCTACGGCAAGCGTCCCACGCAGGAGTACGGCAGCAGGAGTCCTACGGCGCAGGAGTTCCTACGGCAAGTGAGTCCTACGGAGAAGGAGTCCTACGGCAGCAGAGTCTACGGCAGTCAGTCCTACGGTAGCAGGAGTCCTACGGCAGGAGTCCTACGGCCAGGGGTCTACGGCAACGTGGCAGCAGGAGTCCTACGGCAGCAGAGTTAGTAAGAGGAGTCTACGGCAGGCAGTTCCTACGGCAGGGAGTCCTACGGCAGGAGTCCTACGGCAAGGAGTCCTACGGCAGCAGGAGTCCCACGGCAGCAGAGTTCATCGGCAGCAGGAGTCCTACGGCAGCAGGCAGTCCTAATCGGCAGAGTTACGGCCAGGGTCCTACGGCAGCAAGGAGTCCTACGGCAGGAGTCAGCACGAGTCCTACGGCAGCAGGAGTCCTACGCAGCAGGAGTCCTCGCCAGGAGTACGCTTACGGGCAGGAGTCCCTACGGCGCAGGAGTCCTACGGCAGCAGGAGTCCTTTACGGCAAGCAGGATCCTACGGCAGCAGGAGTCCTACGGCAAGGCAAGTCTACGGCAGTAGGAGTCCTAACGCGAGGAGTCCTATGGAGGAGTCTTACGGCAAGAGTCCTACGGCAATAGTCTACGGCAGAGTCCTACGAGAGGAGTTCCTATGGCAGGAGTCCTACGCATAGTCCTACGGCAGGAGTACTACGGCAGCAGGAGTCCTACGGCAGCAGGAAGCTACGGCAGCAGGAGTCCTACGGCCAGGGTCCCTACTGGCAGCAGGTAGTCCTACGGCAGCAGGAGTCCTACGGCAGGAGTCCTACGGGAGGTCTGGCGCGTGCGTAAGCGAAATGGCCGGGGAATGGGTTGGCTTCCTCTCTCCCAACCCGACCTTTTTTTGTACCTTTCAGCGGTCTAGGATTATCTTATATGCAATGCTTTTGATCACGCACACACACACACCACACAACACACACACAACACACACACACACATCAACACTCACTCACTCACTCACTCCTCACTCACTCACTCACTCACTCACTCTCCCTCTCTCTCTCTCTCTCTCTCACACACAACACACACACCACACACACACACACACACACACAACACAACACACACACACACACACACACACACACACACACACACACACACACACACACACACCACACACACACACACACACCACACCACACACTCACTCATCTCCACTCTCCCTCTCCTCTCTCTCTCTCTCTCTCTCTCACACACACCAACCACACACAAACCACACACACACAACACACAACACACACACACACTTACACACACACACTCACACACACACCCCGCAAAAGGAAACACAGAGCCCGATCGCGTCCGGCCCCATTCTTCCTGACGACGCCCCCCCCCCCCACCCCCACCCCACCCCCCAGCAGGAAGAAAGCCCAAAAACAGCTGACCTTGCTTTCCCCTTTTCCCCACACTCATTAAAGCTTGAGGCAGGGCAGGCAGGTCGGCAGGTCGCAGGTGCAGGTCAAAGCGGCAGTCGCATCACCCTGATAGCGATAGCGGGGGCTGGTAAGGGGAGGGGGAGGGGGAGGGGAGGGGGGGGGCGATCACTCAGATTACGGGCTTCGTTGCAATGTGCAAGTAATATTGGCAGGAGAAAGCCGTTGCACTTTGTTATTGCAACAAATAGAAGACTGGAAGGTGGAGAGAGACCGGTAGAGATTGTTGTGAAAGAGAGAGAGAGAGAGAGGAGAGAGAGAGAGAGAGAGAGAGAGAGAGAGAGAGAAGAGAGAGAGAGAGCGAGAGAGAGAGAGAGAGGAGAGAGAGAGAGATAAAAGAGAGAGAAGAGAAGAGAGAGAGAGAGAGAAGGAGAGAGAGAGAGAGAGATGAAAGAGAGAGAGAGAGAGAGATTGAAAGAGAGAGAGAGAGAGAGATGAAAGAGAGAGAGAAGAGAGAGAGATGAAAGAGAAGAGAGAGAGAGAGAGAGAGATGAAAGAGAGAGAGAGAGAGAGAGATCGAAGAGAGAGAGAGAGAGTGAAAGAGAGAGAGAGAGAGATGAGAGAAGAAGAGAGAGAGAGATGAAAGAGGAGAGAGAGAGAGATGAGAGAGAGAGAGAGAGAGAGATTGAAAGAGAGAGAGAGAGAGAGAGATGAAAAGAGAGAGAGAGAGAGAGAGATGAAAAGGAGAGAGAGAGAGAGGATGAAAGAGAGAGAGAAGAGAGAGAGATTGAAGAGAGAGAGAGAGAGAGAGAGATGAAAGAGAGAGAGAGAGAGATGAAAGAGAGAGAGAGAGAGAAGAGAGAGAGAGAGGAGAGAGAGAGAGAGATGAAAGAGAGAGCAGAGAGAGAGAGAGAGGGAGAGAAAGATGAAAGAGAGAGAGAGAGAGAGAGAGAGAAAGGAGAGAAAGGAGAGAGGAAAGATGACGAGAGAGAGAGAGAGAGAAAAGAGAGAGAGGAGAGAGAGAGATGAGAAGAGAGAGAGAGAAAGAGAGAGAGAGAGAGAGAGAAGAGAGAAAGATAGAGAGAGAGATGAGAAGAGAGAGAGAGAGAAAGAGGAGAGAGATGAAAGAGGAGAGAGAGGAGAGAGATGAAAGAGGAGAGAAATGATAGGCACGGAGGCAGATCGCAAAAAGAAAACAAGAAAAGCAATGGCTCACAACACGAAACACAACAAACACAAAGAAACAAGAAAATGAAAAAACACCCGAGCCCGGCAGCCCCCCCCCCCCATCCGCCTCCCGCCCCGCCCATCGCCACTCCCTCCCCAACGAACGCAGGACATCTGACGGCAACCTGCGACGTCACAGCCACGTCACGGCCTCGGCTCGGCAGGCGGCGCCGCAAACGCAAGTCGTTGCGTAATCAGCTGATGCAACTCCGTCCTCTCCGGGGCGGTCGGGAGGCCTCGGCCCTCGGGCTCTCGCCTCGCACTCGGGGCGAAAGGGCATGCACGCAGATAGACATACTTGTGCCCAGACACACGCACGCGCGCAACATGCACATACATATGCCAGACACACGCATGCCCACACGCACGCACATGCACATGCACACATACACACACGCGCGCGGCGACTTATACGTAGTTTTCTAATAAATGGTGTTTGTATGAGTTAGTGTGACATCTTATCTACATCTACCAATAACCTCAGCGATAAGATAATAGACGGCCGCATATACAAGCCCATACCGAATCCTCGACCTTCGCTCACTCTCAGCTTGGTCTTTGACTCACTGCTCGGAGTCAGGACGCGACCTCCACTCGGTGACCCCTTCGAGTTTTGCGATGCCTCAGCTTGCGGTGAAACGCGGTCAGGCAACACCTCATGGTATTTCCCTGCCTCCGCCACACCTCGCTGAGTCAGCAAGCCGGGGAAATGCAAACACACTCGCGCCAACGCAACGCCACGCGCAAACACACAGCAAAAAAATTACATACGCGTACAACAAGTAAACAAGTACACACACAAGCACAAAAACGCACACGCGCAAACAACAAAAAAAAATAAATACGCGTAAGTAACAAGTAAACCACAAAACGCACACGCGCAAACACACAAACACTCACACATACGCGTACAAGTAAAAGTACACCACAAGCACAAAATCACACGCGCAAAGACACACACACACAAAAACAATACGCGTACAAGTAAACAAGTACACACACAAGCACAAAAACGCAAACACTACACAACCCAACAAAAAAAAACATACGCTAAAAGTAAGCAAGTACACACACAAGCAAAAACGCCCACGCACAAAACAAACACAAAAAAAAATACATTACGCCCTAACAACAATAAACAGCACACCCACAATCACAAAAAAAAACACCCACACCCAAACAACCTAAAAAAAACACGTAATCCCAACACGCACCTAATCAACTGACATTGAACACCTTCAACAATCACCTACAAATTAAAGAACAGACACACGAACAGCTTAGCGCGCCCATGCCACTCGTTATCAACCTTATTTACATTCGCGAAATCCCTTAGCGCTAAATTCACTATCAAGACGACAGTTATGTTCGAGATCTCAACCAAGACACTAAGAACACAAGAAGACAAAAAAACAGTTAATTAAATACATCACACGAATAAAGGATAGTCCATTATACACACACAAATAAAAGATCAGTTCCCTTAAATACACACACAAAAAAGATCAGTTCACTTTAATACACCAAAAAAAAAGATTAGTTCACTTAAATACCACACAAAAAAGATAAGTTCACTTAATACACCAACACAAAAAAAAAGATTTAGTTTCACTTAAATACACACACAAAAAAGATCAGTTCACTAAATAGCAACACACAAAGATCAGTTCACTTAAATACACACACAAAAGATAAGTTACTAATAACACACATAAAGAAGATAAGTTTTACTAAATGCACACACAAAAAAGATAAGTCCACTTCAATACAAACACACAAAAAGATAAGTTACTTAAATACACATAAAAAAGATAAGTCACTAATACACAAACAACAAAAGATAATTCACTCTAAATACACACAAAAGATAAGTTTCACTTAAATAACACAAAAAAGAATAAGTTCACACTTACAAATAACACCACAACACACAAAAAGGATAAGTCTTACCTAAATACACAAACATAAAAAGATAGTCCACTTAAATAAACAAAAGATAAATTCCTTAATAACACCACGAAAAAAGATAGTTACACTTAAATACAACACAAAAAAAAAGATTAGTTCTTAAATAACAAAAAAAAAAAGATTAGTTACTTAAATCACACACAAAAAGAGATAAGTCACTTAATACACACACAAAAAGATAAGTTACTTAAATAACACACACAAAAAAAGATAAGTTCAATAAACTTACACACACAAAAAAGATAGCTTACTTAATACACACACGAAAAAGATAAGTTCAATTAAATACAACACTCACACAAAAAGATAAGTTATAAATACCACACGGAAAAAAGATAAGTTTATAAAATAACACACACCAAAAAGATAAGTTTCACTTTTAAATACACACACAAAAAAAGATAAGTTCTTAAATACACACACAAAAAGATAGATAAGTTTACCTAAATACACACAAAAAAAGATAAGTTTCACTTAAATAACACACACACACCACAAAAAGATAAGTTACACACACAAAAAAAGATAAGTTACTTAAATACACACAAAAAAGATAAGTTCACTTAAATACACACACAAAAAAGATAAGTTCACTTAAAATACACACACAAAAAATAAGAAAAATAAGTTCACTTAAATACACACACAAAAAAAGATAAGTTACTTAAATAACAACACTTGAAAAAGATAAGTTTACTAAATACCACAAAAAAAAGATAAGTTTCACTTAAATACACACATCACAAAAAGATAAGTTCACTTAAATACACACACACAAAAAGATTAGTTCACTTAAATACACAGAAGAAACTATTTATCTCTCCTAAACACACAGTGAAAGTAAATAAAGGCCGCAGCTCTTTCTCTTTTATGAATGAGAGGCTGAATGGACGGCTGAGACAGAAGCCCTCCGGTCAGCGGCAAACAGACAGGGAGAAACCATGGAACCGCACGGGCCCGTAGGACGGAGGGGGGCGGGGTCTGTGCGAGCGCGCGCGTCCGTAACGAGCGTAAAAGTAAATAAATCAAAGAAGGATAAAGGAGAACGATAAAAAATGATAAATAAAAGAGAATGAGCGTGAGGGATGACACCCAGAGGGGAAGGACCTCTCGCCAGGCAAGCAGAGCAAGAGAGATCGCAGTTCAAAACAGAAGCCAATCAGGGACAGGAACTCGAGAGAAAAAACAGGGAAAGAGCCAAACAGCGAGAAGACAAAAGGAACAGGAAGTAAAGACGAGGACGTAGAAGTAAGAACATATCAAAGGTAAAATCAAACAAAAAAAACAAGAAAGAATAGACTCAAAAAGCAAGAAAAACCCGGGCATACATAAAACCATTAAGGAATAATGGGGATACAAAGGAAAACCAATGAATAAAAAAAAAACAATGCGACGCCACGAAAAGGGTAAAAAAAAACTACTGACGAAAATAACCCCAAAAAAAATCTTAGCAAGTCAAAGCCACGCCCAGAATCCGCCCACGTGTGACCGAGAATCCTCCCACCGCCGCCCTGTCTCATCTCTACCATGCGCCGTTTGCATGCACACGCGGCGTCATGCACGACTGTGAGCCTTCCAGCGGTACCTTGTAAAGGACAGGAGGGAGGGAGGGAGGGAGGGAGGGACAGGAGGGGGGAGGGACATTAGGGAGGGAGGGAAGGAAGGAGGGGAGGAGGGAGGGAGGGGGAGGGAGGGAGGGAGGGAGGGAGGGAGGGGAGGGAGGGAGGGGGGAGGGAGGGGGAGAGAGAGGGAGGGAGGTGAGGGAAGGAGGGACAAGGGGAGGGAAGGAGGGAGGGGAGGGGGGAGGGAGAGGGAGGGGAGGGGGAGGGAGGGAAGGAAGGGAGGGGGGAGGGAAGGAGGGAGGGGAGGGAGGGAGGGACAGGGGAGGGAGGGAGGGAGGAGGGAGGGAGGAGGGAGGGACAGGAGGGAGGGAGGGGGAGGGAGGGAGGGACATGGGAGGGAGGAGGAAGGAGGGATTGGGAGGGAGGGACAAACACACGATAAGAGTGGAAGGGAAAGGAGGAGGGGGACAAGGAGGGGAGGGAGGTGCGGGAGGAGGAAGGGAGAGGGAGAGAGGGACAGGAGGGAGGGAGGGAGGTGAGGGAAGGAGGTAGAGAGGGAGGGTAGGAAAAAGGAGGGAAGGAAGGGAAGGGAGAGGGACAGGAGAGGGAGGGAGGACAGGAGGGAGGGGGACGGAGGGGGGGATCGAGGGAGGGAGGGGGGAAAGGGACAGGGAGGAGGGGAACACGGGAGGGGAAGGGACGGGGAGGGAGGGAGGGGATCCCAGGGGAGGGAGGAAGGGGGAGGGGAGGGAGGAGGGAGGAAGGGGGGGAGG